TCCTGTGGTAGTACCAGGCATAGGTATTAGTTCCAGTAATTCCTCAAAAATGTTAAAATTCTTGTCACAAGAACGAAGAAACACTGCTAATTGAGCTTTGCCACTAATGTCCGTGCTCTCGTCACAGGCAATGGAGAAACTTTCGAAACTAGATGATTTTGCTTTGATCTGATCACTTAAATTCGCGGCTAAATCAGTAACTCTTTCCGCAACTGTATTTCGAGACAATGATATTGATTGAAAAGCCTTCACATTTCCAGGACAAACAATTTCTTCAGCTTTCATTAGGCATTCCTTGATGAAATCACTGTCAGTAAAAGACTTCGAATGTTTAACTATCAACTCGGACAAGACGTATCTTGCATGTACCGCCGCTTCACTTTCTTGCAATACTTTACTAAACATGGACTGTTGCTTTTTCACTCCTAACTTGAGCTCTTTCAACTTTTCTTCTCTCACTAATCCTTCGTAATTGTTATATTTCGATTTGTGTTGTTCGTAATGACGTTTAATATTATATAACTTTGGTATATTAATAGTATTATTAAATATCAAGCAGATTATTTTATCTTTTATTTCACAGCAAAAATATTCCAATTCCCATTTTACTTGGAATATTCTATGTTCGTCAGCGATTTTTCGTTTAATTTTACTACCACTTGGTTTTGATATAGACATACTAAATACAAAGGGCTGGAATAAACAAAGGTTAACGTTAAAAAGTTAACAAAAATTTTATTCTTTCCACAAGAGATAAATCAAAATGCTGAAATATTTCTTCAAAATATTCTAACAATATCACAAAATGTCAAACGTTTAGCAAAAATCAATTCAAAACAGAGAAAACTAATTCTATCTCACAGCGAAATCGCTACAAATCAATCACAGCATTAAGTAAACAAACAGTTCGCTAGAACTACAGCTACTACTGAGATGAGTTGTTTGTTTCTCGGCTTTTATAAGCTTTATAATTAATTTTCTCGAATATACTGGAAACATCTATAAATATCTGGATTTTGTGGATGGCAACAGCAATTACGAGATATTTATTTATTAGGTATTATTAAATGCAAGCGCTGTTCTATTTTTAACCTTCCAACGCAGCTGTCTTTTCAAAAATCGTCTGCGTTGCTAAGGCAACATGAAGCAAATCTAATTACAATTCTAAATAAAATAAACTAACTAGATAAATAACTATGAAATTCGTAACAATATGAATTAAGTAATAATTAATAATAAAGCAAAGTGCATGCACATGCATGCACCAATATATCATACAAAATTATGATTGGAAAACTGAGACCATCAGTTCGGCCACATTCGGTTATCGGGGGATGCGTACAAGTTCTGAATGCACGTGTCCCCCAAAATCCAAAGGTAGCTGAATGCAAGCTACTCACACGCATTTGTAATTTAAGTAGTGTGTGTGTCAGCTCGCTGTGAGTAATCTAACAACACTGAATAAATTATCGTTAATTACTTAGCAGTAAACATTTCATTTTTTTCTTCGTCAATATGTTATTTTATTATTATATATTATTATTTGCCGAAATATTGGCCGGGCCGCAAAAATATTTGTTGTGGGCCGCATGCGTCCCGTGGGCCGCGAATGTGACATCCTTGATCTAAAGTGTATCAAAATTTACAAAAAAAGAAGCTTAATATTTATTTGTTTACTTTATTAAACATTTCTTTCAACACGCGCATGCGTAAAGCATACCTTACGCATAGCCGAAATTAGAAAATTGCAACCAGAAAACTATTTGATTTGTATTTGTGATATTTATAATGACAAGGAATTTGATTTAAATCATATCAAAGACGGAGTACATCGAGATTAAATACTACATTTAGTAAGGAATTATAAGCCGAATAAAATAAAAACATCTGCCCTGAAGATAACGATAGTGCTGACAGATCAACTTCCAGTTCATTGCGCGCCGCAACGTCCCCCCCCCCGTGCAGAGCAGCATGAAATTGATAAACAGATTTCGGAACATTTAGATAAACATAGGATATACCTTTATCCATTTTTGTAGCAATTCATTTTTTGTTTGATGGACATCGAAACATACTTTCGTTTTCTAGATCCTTTAGGAGCTCCAGCATCGGAAATTCTATTTGACATAATCGAAAGTTCAAGCTTATTGTTATAAAATTGCTCTTACAGTCTGCAAAAAATAATAACTCGGATCCAATTCGAAGATTAAGGAACAACGCAATCATCAACATTAACTGAAATAGATAATTAGATAATTTTAGCTTATACTGTCCGTTATACATTAAACGCGCACGCAAAAACGTATTCCGCGCTTGCTCAGATACATATGCGCAGTCGTAAATGTCTTGCGTGCACGCGTAAAACACCTATGAGCATGCGTCAACGCAGGCGCATGCGCAGAAAGATTTTAGGTTTGAGGTCCGGATTATGGGTGTCCGAATTAACGACTTTTGACTGTAGTACCATTTTATTTATTGTTCCCATGACATTTCATGCTGATATTCAGCTTAGACACTGAAGAACAAGAGAGAAAAAAAAATTTGATGTATATATTGCCAATCTTTTGATTAAATTAATAAATAAGCTTAAATCTCAATATGATGAGGAATTTTTTGACTCTCGAGTTCATCAACATCAACAAAAATTGTATAATGCACAATCTTTGCCACAAAAATAAAAAAGTATGCAAATTTTCTCAACTGTTCCAAAAATCAAAAAAAAATTTTAAAAATGAAAAGTTTACTTTTTTAAAGTTTTAAATATCTTTTAGTTTTCTACATTTTTGAATTAAAATTTTTTAACTGAATCCTAATAACTATTCTAATAATGCAATTTTGTGTTAAATGTGTCAATATATTATTACCTAAATTTCTGAACTAAAACTTTTTTTTAATTTGTTTTCAAAGATTTAAAAAACTGTTCATTCATATGAATGTTTGTTCTAAAATTGCAGTTGAACAATTAACAAGAATAATAAAAAAAAAGTCATATAAATTAATTTTTAGTATCCTTTATTGTGACTTGACAGAGTTGGCAGTCCTAGTTTCTTGTTCTAAAAGCTGCATACTATCAGATTGCATTTATATGCTAAATCTGTACTCAGCTTTTATAAACAACTTTTCTAACACTTATCCTACTATGTAACTTGTATATTACTTGCCGTAGTCACATTTCCTTATCTTCCCATTTCTATAGATTTTCATTGTTACAACAGATATATCCAATAAGTTTTGCTGTCTGAGTTATGGATATCCCTTATGCTGAGGTATCTACAATTATGCTCTTTGTAAAGAGCATTAAATAAGCTCTTTTGAAAGAGCATTAAATAATTACAAATTCCCATTTCTATCTAGGTGATAAGACAAAATACAGTCTATTGTAATGGCTTCAGTCACAGCACACGCTCCATCAGAATTAATTATTCAAAAACTATGGAAGCCAAGCAGTAGAAAGCATTAAAACATGGATTTCTAATAAGAAATGTGTGCCCTTGCTTCCAAAAAGATTGCAAGTGTTGTAAAAATATTTGTTTTTAAGTTTATAGAAAAACAAAGCTCAAAACATAACATAAAATAAATTAATAAAAATATATATGCATAAGCATAGGCAGATCCAAAAGTCGCTTATCTACAGTAACAGATTTTACATACACTAGTACAAACATTTTACAGAATTTCTACATATGCTCGATTATTTTCTGAATTGATTGATAGATTTTAATGAAATCTGTATGCATACAGGTTGATATAACAAAAAAAGTATACCATAGTTATGGTACCCATGCATAAGACGTATCAGCACAGGATGATTCTAAAACAGTATGAAAATCCTCTTAATTTTAAACACCAGGATAGTTCAGCAACATTTATATATTCTGTGTATAAAATTTAGAGTATTTTAATTCTTTTCAGATATAATTTTTAATTCTTAGTTTCTTTGTACAAATGCAAATTTCATATTTACTAATAATAATGACAATGCTTAGCATATTTAGAAAGTCAAAAGGCATGGCTATCTTAAGACTAAAGAACATTTTCAATACTCACTGTTTGTGATGATTTTTACATCCACATGGAAGGCTACATTTGGATAGTTTTATGTTATTATTTCATGAAATATATGTGACTTCATACAATAATGTTCAAAGATTCCCTAAAAAATATACAGCTATACTTCGGCAATTTTTTATTTTCCTTCAGGAGAAGAGAGAGTGAAAACTTAGTACTCAAATATTGTAAAATGCTACATATTATTATTATTATTTTGGTGGATGTGTATGGTTTTCTTCCATGATTTAAATAAAATATGTTTTGTTACATGATTTGAATAAAAAAATTATATGAGTGCAGAATTAGTGACAACATTTATTGAAACAAGCAAACTCATGAAATACAAACTCATAATCAACAACTAAAGACTCAAAATTACATACAAATTAATTTTTAAAAACTCAAAATATATTTTGACCATTACAAGTTGAAAAAATACAATCCTTACTTTGGAATGAAATCAACTGCGGGAGTTTCAAGTATTAAGATACTAAACACTTGCTATAATTTTTTTAAAAAATTCAAAATTACATAATGCATTAAAACTAATATTATATATAAGTTAGAAAGCAGTTCTAGAGGTTTTAGAGGTTATATCATTTATAATAGAGTAATAAGAATGCAGTAAACAGAACTGACATACTCTAATTTGGATACTTCTAGTCCGATATAAAATATAAAGATTTTTATAAGTAATACCAAGCACTTTTTTTTTATTTGGCACATTTTACCAAAAGGAAATTTAAATTCTTCATTTTAAAAATGTGCAAAAAAACATATTTACAAATAATAACTTCGCAAACAGAAGCTGCACTTTATATACATTATTAAGTAAAATTATCATAAATTCCTATATTAAAAAAATACTCAAATTTAAGTTAGGAATTAATAAGAAAATTCTACTCAAGGATAAAATAAATTTCTTTATGTGATATTTCAATATAACAAACCATCAAATTCTACGGACGAAACGCGAAAGTACGCGCTAGCCTCTAACCACGGAGTATAGAGATGAGTTTTTGATTAGTTTGTTATTAACTTTCTTGCATTAATTTATTCATAATTTTGCGTTCTAAAATGTTTCGTATTTTATTGAAATGTAAAATACTGTACTGTAAATTAAAATTTTTAAAGAAAGTGGTACTTTCGTATTTTACTGTCTAATTCACGAACACTCCATCACATAGATCGTTCTGCATTTAATTAAGTGATCACAAATAGATGATAATTTAATTAAATAACAAACAAATGCAAGTTATGAATAAAGCATATAAACAAAGTAAATAAATTTGAGCTTAAATTTTGTAATTTACCTGATAAACAAGTTTTTAAATTACCGCTAATCATTTCGGCTGCGAAAAATCCGTAATAGTTTGATATAGCATCGAAATTTTCACTCTTTTATTAATCTAGCTCCAGATAAATTCACTTTAATATAAATCTAAAAGTAGAAAAACATTTTTTTTAAATATAAAAAAGTTCAGTACTCTTCATCTGCACCACTTGGAAAAACTTGCTTCAATTAGTATTAGAAAATATGTAATCAATAATACTGTTAATCTTAATAATAATTTTTTTATAATATAACGCTTAAAAGTATGTTTTATACTTTATGGTTCCTTGTTAAACTTATGAACAGGAAAATGATTTTTTGCGTTAGGAAGATTGCCTCAGTTTTTAATTTTCAGTCTTTTCAATTTTTCTTTCGTATCTCCCAATCTTTGATCGAGATATGTCTTTAAAACTTTTAGTAAATATAATTTAAAAAGAACCTTTCACTGGTTAAACCCTATACTGGTCATCGTGCTAAAACAAGGTTAGAATAGACCTCCTTGGTTTAGACCAATAGCGTGTACATCCCAAAACGGCAGCCTATAAGAGAAGCGATTCTATTATTTTCATGGGGGGTAGGGAAGTTAGAATGGTTTTCTGAGGAACACAACGTCATTGGACGATGTTTGTTTACATTTGGAAGTTCAAAAAATTGCTAAGGTGGATTGCCTTAGTTTCTACGGTTACTTACAGGGAAATATTACGCAGCTTTTTTCGGTTTGCTGATAGAGGGCAAATAGCCAATTTACCGTTATAAATCCGCGTTCGTCTATTTAGACTTCAGAAGATTTAAGATGAAGTGAATATATTTAACACAACAGAACGCAATCTTAACACTTGTAAATCTTTTAAAAACAATACATCGATAATTAAAAATATTATTTATAGTTCATTATTAAAAACATGTTTATGAATGCATAGTTATCATATAATTAACAATTCATTCAGGAATTATCTCATTGTTTATTATAATTAGAAGAGAAGATATTTTTTACAGCAATGTTTAAAATTTGCTGTTATCGATGGGGTTTTTAAGGCAATTTCCATCTGAAAAAGGAATAATGAATATTTGAATGAAGGGATACTTTATATGAGGTGCCCCATCATAGAGGGAAGATTGCCTAAAAGGGAGATGGCAGATGTGTGGGATATTCCAAAGAAATCTGTCTTAGAGAACAGAAAATCTTATATGTAAAGTATTCCTCAAAAGATTACTACATTATGGATGTGCATGGAGGACCACATAAGGGATCTAATTCGCAAACCTTTCAAGCAAATTTGCCCTAAAAAAAAGATATGTCATTTTATGGAGTATTTTATTATTTATTTATGGGAGAGTCTGATATTGTTCACTATCCAAGTACACATGAAGCAAAATCTCAGTTCATACCTTAAGAAATGATTGCATACATTATTTCTTGGCAACACAGTTTATTTCTATTTCCTCTTTTTATTTAATTATTTTTTCATAATCTCTGTGTATACTTTTTGAGTAAAGTAAATAAATAAAAAAGTCTGAATCTTTCAAATTTTATACTATGCCCAAATGGGCCTTTTTTGTCATTTACAGACACATACACGTTTCGAGAGCATTTGGGCTAGCACCACATTGTGCTAAATATATTTAAAAACAGCATATGTTTAGAATTCCAATTCACGGTCTCACGTGTTGGAGTTAAAAATGCTTTATTCCGTAGTGTTGCCATTGCTTCCTTTGAAATTGCTGAGTTTTTTTTTTATTAAAATTAGTTAAGTTTTACAAATTATGAAATAGACAATAAAGCAAATTCCAAATTCGGGCTTCCAGGTGCCCATGTTCGGGTGGAGGACTATGTTATTCAAAATTTATGATCCTAGGTACCATTGTTTTTTCACAATGCGAGAAACATATATACATTCATAGGGCAGTCTTCATTATTTAGTTTTGTCACATATATTATAAAGGAATAATATTTGATGGCAACAATTTAAAAAGTTATTCGACACAAAATGCCGTTTTGAAAGTTTTAATAGCCTGAGCTAATAAAAATTAATACATTTTTGTGCATGGTTAAATATGCCCAGTTATGAGGCTTTTGATTGTAATATTGATTTTTATTAGTCAGAATAGCACTTTTTATTTAATCCCACCAAGACACACACTGACAGCGATTTTCAACACATTTTGAGTATGCATTGGCACAAAATAGGTATGAGTAAATAGATATTACTTTTATTAGATATTACAGAGAAATATTTTCGCTCTAGGCTCACCAATAAAGGCTGTTACAGGATGATTCAAACAAAATAAATTAAACTATTACAGGATTCATAGACACTTCTGCTCACGAAAATTAAGTACTTTTAATGATCATTAATGAAAAAATTAGACTTGAATAAACTGAATCAACTAAAGCAATAATCTACACCCTAACTTCATTTTTGTATTTTGTAAGAATAAAATAAATCTGTACGTAGGATGTATTATTATTAAATGTAATCTAATATTTAACTGAATTCTAAAACAAGTTCAAGAATAAAATTAACTTCATAAATTTTTCAAGTAATTAGAATTAAATTATAAAATTTCTTGAAATATTTATAGTTAACCCTCATAACAGTCCTGCATGTTCTGAAGATTAGTGGCTTTTTATTTAAACATTACTAACTGCTAGTTTTATTTTGATTCTTTCTTATATGCCTTATTTTGTCACAACTCACTCAAATTTCATATCAAGTGGGTAAGTTAAATTGTGATGTAAAAGAATACACAACATGACTCATAACACAAGCTTGGCCGTTGTCACCGCAGCTGCTTGCTTAGAGACAGAAAGCTGCTGATCAGGACAGATGAGAACGCTTGACATTAGTATGGTTGCAAGTGTGGAAAGTTAACTGCACTTTGTCTAACCCAGTTAGTGTCAGAGCTTTATGTAGATTTTCTGGATTTATAATTCAGTTAATATACATTATTTAATATAAAGTTCCAATAAGCTGCTGAAGGACCAGAGATGATAGGTTGTTTTGTTTTTTAAGCTGTAAGGAATAAAATTTTATGTAAATTTTACATTTTTGTGTTGTATCTTGAATTTACAATAAGGATTAAGGAATGCAGATAACTCCATTCCATTTGTAACAGCCGTTAGTTACAAATAATTAAATTACGTAGTTTGATACCCATACTCCTAATATATTTATATGATCGTAGAGCCATTAGGTTATTTCGAAGCAGGAGACATGAAAAATGTACAATGCCCTTGCCAGGCTGTCAGGATTCGAACCATGGACCTCTTGAATATGCGCCAAGCGTGCTGACCACTACACCACGAAGGTGGGAGAAATACCTTATATGGTTACAATGCGTTTTTTTAATTTCTAAAAAAAACATATCCATTTAAAAAGCATTAAGAAAATTTTACGACAGTTATAATTTATGATATTGATTTTAAAATGATATTAGTATTATTAAACATTAAAACCATTAATTAATTATAAATAACTAATTAAATTAATTACATTAAAATCTCCAAAACATTTATGTTTTGCAGGTTTTCTAGTCTTTGCTTCGTCTCCTAATCAGTTAATGTTTAAATGGTTTACCTGTGAAGAATAATTTTTTTCTCTCTTTGTAGCACCAGTTCCTTTTTCAATTAATTTTATTTTCATTTCAGAATTAATTAAAGATTTCTGTTATTCTACAGAACTGCTTGTACTCAGAATGAATAGATGAAATTAATTTCGTTTCTTTAATAATATGAATAATGAAAATAAATATGAAATTATATTAGGTCAAAACTGGTGCAGCAACCAGAGTGGCAGAATTTTTAAATTTACTGAAGCACTTAGCAATAAAATTTAGGGCAGTTACTGAGGTATATATGGTGCATATAATTTTTGCTGGGGTTCATTCATGATTCCTAGTAAAAGCTCCTCTTTTTGGATAGCTGGAAAGTCTTCCAACACTTTTGCAACCTGTTTATAAATGAGTACTGTATTGTACTGACTGTCTTGTAATATTTTTACAGTTAAACCAAGAGATGATCTTCATCATCTTCATGCAATATTACATTCATGCAATATTACATTCTCAATTCGGAATTCTTTCCTAATTTTTAAAGGATTCGAAAATAATTATGGATTTAATATGAAAAAACACTTTAAATGCAGATATTTACAAAAATTTAGAAGCAGTTTTTCTTACCAAAACGATAGAGCTTATTTAAAAAAAAAAAAAAAAAAAAAAACTTAAACAGAGTTGAGTTGTAAGTAGTAGCTGTTATCACCGAAATCAGTAGGAGGATGCTTGTCAGTGGGCTTGAAAATCTCGTGGTAGTCTTCGATGATGGGGTTAAAAATGGGAGCGAAGAGCGTATATGCTTCAGCATCAGGTGCATAAATTCAACTCCACTATCCAAATTCTCAATACCTGATTGAATGCAGTCCAAAAGAGTGGCCCCCAAAGCGGTTTTCTTATTTTTGCAGGCATCGAAAACTTCCTTTGTCAAGTATTTTTTCAACAAAGATTTGCAGTCAGTAGCAGCTTGCAACTTTTTGAAGCCGGCTTCCAATTTGTCAAGAGTAGCTTGGTCAACCATGATTGCTTTGCTATAAATTTGTCGTCGATATCCCACACTTCGGAGTTTGGTCACTTTTGATAATATGTGATAAGATGGCAGATGCTTTTCGTAACTCCTATTATAAAAATTTTTAGTTCGATCTTCAAAAATAATTATTTTTTTAAGTCTTCGAAAATGTAAAATCAGAAATTTTAGACTAATGTTATGAAGATCCTTCCGTGTAGTGAGACCGTATCGTTTCGTTGGAGAATATTTCTGTCTTGTTTCATCCAAAATCTTCGACATAGGTATCCCGAGATTAAGAGAGGAAGCAAGATTAGTTTTTTTTCTTCTTTAGACAGAGGAAGCTTACCTACTTCTAGCTCATGGCCTGACTGATACAGAACTTTTATTTCAGTTGTTTCATTAACAGTTTGTGCCGATACATTAATCATAGCAGGACAGGTACAACCAGATTTTACAAAACCTCTTGCTTTTAAGTGTCGCATTCTATTCTCTTTTGAGTTATAAATTCAATTTCGATGGCAGCTATAATAAGACAGCTTGACGCCATTTTCTTTTTCTTTTTTCTGAAGAACTCTTGAGCACGAACGACGACTGATTTTCTTTTTCAATTTTTTTAATCCACTCAATAAATTCTTCGTGAATGCCAATAATTCACGAAGTGAGTGAGTTGTGAATCCAAGAATTTCAACGAAATACTATGTTGCTCTAATAAATGATCATGTAGGTTCGATATAGTCCGGAACTTTCTATTACATATACCACAGAGCTCATTACATATCAGATCAGGATCTTCAGAATGCACGTTTCGCATATGAGAATATAAACGTTTTCGTTCGTTCAAACGTTGTTTGACACTTTTCACAAACAATCGGATAGGTTCTGAGAACGGCCATTTTTTTGGCCCTGAAAAGGGCCATTGCAAAGAATATGTATGTTCTTTGGCCGTTGTGTTAAATGTTTTTACACAGCGATCGAAAAGTAACAGCGAAAATACCCCGTATTTACTTCACTGTATTCACTTTTTGATAAGAGCGCATGCGCAGGACTTACTCCCCGATGGAAATAATAGAATCGCCTCACTCGTAGGCTGCCGTTTTGGGATGTAGACGCTAGTGGTTTAGCTAGTGGCTGGATTGTTCCTCCGCTATTCTAACCTTCTTGTACTAAACATCTAAACTTTCGTTGTATGCAGGTGGCCACACGTTATCTTTCATTGGCTTTCTGTGGCATAATTTTAATGTTTTTTTTTCTCTTAAGGAAAATGGCTGAAGATCTTTCTGCAAATTTACAAAGCTATCAAATTCAACTGCAGCAAGTTCGTAAATTCTTATTTTTATGTCAAATAATTGTGCGTTTATGTGCTTATGAAAATTCAAATATGATACATTGTTAGATATTAATATTCATCTCCCAGTAAATATATTTGTTTCATGTTTTTAAACTTATCCGAGATTTTATTTTGCGATGTTATATCCATATTGAAAATCCAAAGGATTTTACTTTTCTCATTCACATTTATTGTATCGTATATCTTTTCTTATAGAAACTGTGTAACGAAAAATGTGTGCATTTCGTGTACTTGATTTCTTCGTTAATGTTCTCTTATTTTAACTGATGTACTTTTATAATGCTATACTGATTCAGTATATTTTTATAGGTTGAAGCAGCGCTAACTAACGATCCAAGCAATGAAGAACTGCTAAAGTTAAAGAAAGATTTGCAGGTAAGCCATTTTTTCGTTTCTTTTGTAGTTGTACAATTTTGCATATCTATTCTAGTGTTGAATAGGAGAAGCCTGCATATGTGAAAAATTGTTTATTTTTATTCGAGGTATTAGTTATCTTATTCCACTGCCTATCTGTACGATTGTGAAGTTAATACCTTTGCTTGTCTATCGTTATCTATTAAAAAAATTATTAGTTATTTATTCAAATCATAATAAATAAATTTCTCTTTCTGTATTTTGCTTGATGTTTTTTTATGAAAAGTGGTTATGCAACTGACTGACTAGAATTCCTGCCCCCCCCCAAAAGAACTAAAATCTCATTTTTGCTGAGATGATAAAATACTTTTTTAGCAATCTTGCATTATCCGTCCACCCATTCTGCAAAGTCCGCGATCTTTGGCTATTAATTTTTCACTAACCTAATACATGAAAAGCAGTAGTCTTTTAAAGAATGATGGTGCACTGAAAATTACATGAAAGAGCAATGAATTAACGAAATTAAAAGCAGTAAATATATGTATAACAGCAACAAATTACCTAAATTAAAAATGAAACGACCATCCATAATAAAACTTTCTTCTTTCCTGGCCATCTGTTCATATTCGTGCTTATCTGTTTTAATTTAATAAAACATAGTTTAAACAGGAGCTGCCAAATTCCTGATATTTCAGAGTAAATTGGCACTGCTTTTGATGTGTGCAACAAACTGTTTTAATTTCAAAATTTAAGGAAAAAAAAAAAAAAAAAAAATTGCACAAATTAATTTCATCGAAGTTTCATTCTTCTACTGTTTACTACTAAGCAAAATGCTGTATTTCTGAAAATATTTAACACTTTCTTTTCCATTAGCACATAAACTTCACAGGGGAATTAAAAATCTTTACAAGGAGAAAAAAATCACTAATCACACTAATCACAAAAATGATTCTCTAATTTCAAAAACGCACACATTACCACTATCACCAAGATAGATTACATGCTGACATAATGCATGCACATCCATTAGTATAGTGGCAGAGGTTCTTAACCAGAAGGGAATGCTGTCAGCTTTTATTTACTCATTGAGTTCTAGTGAATAAATATAAAAAAAAAAAAAACTAAACGTGTTAAAAAATACATTTCTATGTATTTTGGAATTTTAGAAAGGGCAAATAATCGTCTAGCAATGGTGAAAGGGGTGCAGGGGGCAAAAAAAAAAAAGAGATGAGAACCACTGCATTAGTGGTTTGCCTACTTTGGCAACATAGAGCTTTACCCGGGATTCTTGTCAGTGTTGGGCAGATAATGTAATAGTACCACTATTTGTGTTTCTGATCTTCAAATTTTTGCAAAATACATGTTCTTAAAGAAATAAAAGCAAAGGTTTTAAACTGAACAATTATTGTCATGTCTGATATTCTGTGGTATGCTGTTTACTTTGAAACACGTGTAAAGTTTTTAAGTGTCAATTTTTCAGTCTGCGGAATGTAGAAAATCTGAAGTCTACAGCCGTAATATGTATCATTACTGGGTCACCCAGTAATCTCAAAGTTGCAGACTCTGCTTCAGAAAGGGGAAGTGGCTGAACAGTAAGAAAATATTGTTTTGTTTTTACATTAAATTATTATTAAGGTAGGTGCAAAACTGGTGCCCTTCCTGCTCTTCAACATCTGTTAATTTTTTTTAGTAATTGTTGCTACCGCAGAGAACCTGTTTGATGACAGTTCAGTTTTTGCTCACCAAGCTAAGCGATGGTTTTAAACTTGACATTAAATGTGAAATTAATGGAAAATAAATGACATGAAACACATTGAAGTAAAATGTAGCTTGTTAAACATATTGGGTATATATATGAATTAAAGTTAGGAGAAATAGTATGACATCATTAAGCATGTATAAACTGAATTTATATTTACGTAAGTTAGCAGGTAAAAAAAAGTATATATATATATATAGTAAAAATTAATTTGTTAAACATAATATGTAGTATATATAAATTAAAGTTAGTAGGAAAAAAAAAACATGTTATTAAACAAATGTAAGTAAAATTTACCATTAAAAGTAAAATGTTAGCTATTGAAATCGATTTCTGATAGAATGCAGTAATTTGTTTACTTTTTTATTTCCCCAAAATTTGTGCCATTAAAGTACTTTATTGAGAAACAAGTATTCAAAAAGCAATCTGCTAGATTTTCTAGTAAAAGTTTACAATTGGGTGCCCCTTGTTTTCTGGTGATTCTTTTTTGACGCCAAGATTGGTGCCAAGAAGGCACAATTTCGAGATGGCCGCTACACAAAACCAAAATAAGAAGTCAAAGAATTGCACAAACTCTGTGTCCATATACACATCATTCTGTTTTTACTTAAAAAAAAATCCTAGAATTGCAGGCATTGCGCACTGCCTTAAATTTGCTTATGTACACATCAATCTATTTTCATTTAAATAAAATCAGGAAGCTAAAACAAAGTTAAAACTATCATGGTAACAGTAAGTGAGGTTTCATCACCAAAATTAAAAAAAATTATCGCTATTCGAAGGGGCACCAAATTCTACACTAGAGCCGATTTTCTTTGAGCAGATCACTTTTAGGAAAGATTGTATGAAAATCGTACAAAATAGCAATAAATAACTGAAAAATAAATTACATGTGCAAAAATAAGGATGAGTGGTACGGCAAGCAAGAGAAATGGTTTCTACCTATGAACAGCGCTGCAGTGAAATTTCTAGCTTTGAACTGTTATTTTTATATTTGGCAATGTTTCCATTTACTGGGCTCTCTGCGGTAGTGGTTCCGAACTTGTACTTTAAGTATTTTTTATGTAATACAAAATATTGATTAAATTTATAAGTAGGAAGTAATTTTAAATGTGATGAGATACATACATTTCTTTATAGTTATTGCATTTATTTTAGATACTTCTAATTTATGCAACACAATAAAAACTGTTTTATGTATTTTAATAAAGTTCGTAAAATAAAATGCAAACATTTCCATTGCTGTGAATTTCTTTCAATGAAACTATAACGCTGATTTTTGTTGTTTGACTTCTAAATTAATATTTCCATTGCAGTTGAAAACATTACTAAAATGTATCCCAATTCTAATATTGAGAATAAAATATATAATGCTGTGCTAGTTAACTTTACAAATAAAGTTTCCAGTATCCTCTACGTCTAAACATTTTGGAGGGATACTTTTTTGTTTAGCAGTTTCGTACCCTGCAGACAAAGATACTAGATTGTTGCCAGTTACCGAGACCTATTTTTCCCACCTTTATCTTTCATATTACAAATAATATGTGCCAAAGTGCATCATTTAACATGCAATTCCATTCATATTGTATAATAACTTTTTGCTAGAATTAATTTGAATCGTTAGTACAATAAATAAAATGTTTCGTGCATCGCATAACACACTGACTGCATAATTTTAATTAATGTTCCTTGTATACGCTATCATTTGCATTCAAAATAAAAATCTAGTAGTGATTAAAAAAATTAGGTTTATAACATAGATTGCAGTCTTTTATTTCCTGAGGTTTTTGAGTTATTTCAAATTCAAAATTTTTCAAAAATCCATTTATTTTAAGTACATTTTTGTATTTCTCTGTAAGGTATTTTTGCTTTGAAAAGCGTATTAGATTTCACAAGATCTTAGTTTTTATAAATTTATAATTTCATAAAGATTGCAAAACAGAATTATAGAAGAGCTAGCAGGGGTCATTTTATTTATGTGAAGTAATTATTGATACTCTTCTTAAAAGATTAAATATTTGCTGAGTTTTTAAATTAAATTTTTGTTGATATTGTTATTAAAAATGTTTATTTTTTATATGTCGTACTTCTAATTTCCTCTTCTTGGAAATAGACGAGACATAAAAATAAGGTACTTACATTAATGTCTTAGCAGATGTTGCCAAATTTTTAGAACAAGCCAAACTATGGCAACCATGCACATAATGATTCTTCAAGCAACCATGTTCATAGCAATCCTTTAACACGTTGAGCTCGGCGCCGAATTTGCTGTTCTTTCCATTCAGCCGGCGCGAGAGATCAAGCGGTACGAAGTTGCAGGGTGATCTGCGACTTCATGCACTGAGTAGAGCTTATCTTTTGGTGAGCTTTGTCGGCTACCGACATCCAAGCCCTGCCTGTGCGTGACAAAGCTCGTGGTTGTGAACGTTAATCAAGCCAAACGAAAATTCCAGTGCCGGTCTCCAGATACCGACGCCGGCCAAATAAATATTCCAGTGCTGGTCCCCAGGCTCAATTTGTTAATGAAGATATGATGCCGTTTTTGCATAATGCACTTGTTGAATTTACTGATGATGGATGAAACATCTATATTATTTCTTAAGGAATACAGAATTTTAATGCCAAATTTGTAAAGAAAGCAATGTGTTTAGCGACATGAAGTGGCAATTCTCTCTCTCTCTTTTTTTTTTTAAGTGAAAACTTTTTACTGTGTACTCAAGAAGAATAGTGCCACCCTCCAGAGAAAATTACAGAACTATTTGAAAACAAATAAGTTTTATTTTTTAAATATATCACATAATCCTAATTTAAAAATTAAAATTTGTATTTTAAATTTCTAAAATATGTTGACATTTTAAATGTTGGCAATGTTTGCCAACTTACAATAATTATCGATACTTCAGGAGTCTTTTAGTGTAAAATATAAATTAACATTTCATGCTGAAATAGTTGCTTAGATCTGTAAACTGCATATCACATTGCCATTAGTTACCTTAAAAAATATAACCCATATTATTTTATAGACCTTTATAATAATCTTAATATTTCAATACCTTCCAAGTTCAAATTAATTCAAGATTGTAACATCATAGATTTTAATTGTAGATTCCAAATTCTTTCAAAATTCTATTTGAGTTTTAAAATTAATGTTGATTTGAAAGTTTATTTTGCTGAGTTTTACAGTTTTTAGGACGTATCTGAAAGTTATTTATTGAAAATTTTCATAAATAAATTTGAGTATGATTAATGTAAAGATGTATTGCATTAAGATTAAAAAAATCCCAAAATCGTTTCATTAAAGTGCTGAAATTTAATTGTTGAAAAATTTTTGGAAATCTTATGTGTGGATGAATATATATATATATTTCATTTTAATACTAAATTTAAAAATTACTGAAATTTTATTTTATTTCTTTTCAAATAATTATTGCATGTGATATTTATTGCTGTGCACATGTTAAAATAAAAAAAATTATCTTTCAGGAAGTTATTCTTCTCACAACTGAACTTATTACTGCAAATTCAGAAAAAGCTGCCCCTACACTTAGTTATGAAGGCTCCAGTAAAGAATCCAGTGCGCTCCAGTGTAGGTGGAACACTGGAGACAAGTGTCTAGCTCCCTGGTCTGAAGATGGGCAGTAAGTTTTCGTATACTTATTGGGAAACCATTAATTCTGTTAACGTTTTGGTAGTCATCAACAAGCTCGACTTGCATTCGAGTTACTTATTGCAGTGGGCACAAATGAACACAGCTCATATTGCAAGTTTTTGCCTAAATGGTAATGAACAAGTTACACTCACAAATGAAATTTTTACCCTAATGCGTGCAGATCAAGTAGGCTCATTCTTCAAAATAATCGTGCAATTTTTAATGTTTCAAATGAATTGAGCTTGCTAATTAGTTGATTTTACTTGGTATAGATGGCAGTAAGAATACTAGCTCTTGCATATCTGCTGGAAATTTTTTTTCGGGAATTTTTATGTTATATTTTGAATTATAACTAAAAATGACATCAGAGAAAAAGTTAAAGCGCTTTTTTTTTTTGAATGAGGAGTCTGATTCTGAAGATAAATCGGTACTTTTCCGTTTTGCCGATAAAGTCGCCGATAATGGTACAGCTGATGCCAAACAGAATATCTTCGCTGGTAACCTTTTACGCCTCATTTCCAAAACAAGTCGCAGCCATTTCTTACCAGCTTGATTGTTTCTTTCAATACTGGCATACAATTACATAGAATATTTACAAAGATAATTAAATTTTATGCCCTAAGACCATTCACGGTAATTAAGCCAATTAGGATGTATAGAATAGATGAATGAAATAGATCACACCTCCACTCGAAGGCGAAAATATAGAAAAGGCAAAATCAAGGGTTAAATTCATTAATTCTAATGAGAATGCACCAGCGAAGTAAAGCACTGCGGTTTTACATAATTTCTGAGTAAGCTTTTCGTACGAATTGAAATAATTCTTGCATTTAAACTTGTATTCTAAATTAAGATTTAACTTGAAATTAATGCAGATAATTACTGAGAGAATTATATTTTTGTAGCGTAGTTTGCGTGAGATGAGATCACTTAGAGTCACGTGATACGAACCGGCGAATCAGGATGTTGAACCATGATAGCATAGTAAATTCTTAAATTAATGTCTTTTTACAAATTTATTGTCTTTATTTATTGGCTTTTTACAAAATTTTAAACCATATTAAAATGTTTATGCCTTCAAAATAAAAAATTCTTAGAACTAACATTTGTTAACATTTTTTATGTGTATACTGTATGTTGTCGCCAACAAAGTCTGCTTGGCGAGATTTGCGTTCGCGAAACGGAAAAGTACCGATAAATCTTATATCAGATAATGACAATGATTCAGGTTAGGATACAGAAATTTGTTTTGAAAATTCAGCTGATGATTTGAGTGAAGAAGATTTAGTTGTGCGAAATTTCGATTTTTATACAATTCCATGTTTCGAAGTTTACTACACACAAGAGGTTATATAAATATATATGTATAATATTCAGTATACTATGACTTTTTTTATTATTTTCATATAGAACAGTGTAAAATAATAACTTTCTATAAAGATGCTTATGTATTTTCCCTTTCCAAAGGTTCTCTATATTTCTTGTGTAGTCTGAATGACCTTTAATGAAACATCAAAACAAGTGCTCTCTCTCTGTTCCTACAGTGACTGTCAAATTTTTAAGAAGGAAGAATCGCTTAATCTCATAACTGCCAAAGGATTAATGTGTTGTATGCATGTTATTTTTCATTGGCTGACATTTGTTATCGGAGACTTCTGTTTTTCAACTTTATTTGCAAATATCAGTTGTTAAATATTAGCAAAATGACTTCATTTTTCTTTCATATATACTATTGATCTTTTTTTTAAAAAAAAAACCTGCTTATTAAAAAAAAAAAAAAATATTCAAAATGCTTTTGGTAGAGAAAAGTTTATTCAGAAAGTTCTGAAATTGGAATCACATAAGTATTTGTACACTTTGAGCAAATAGTTTATATTCAATAAAAGCATGAAAATAATGGAACGTTCAATATTTCTTTGGATATCCTTTAGCTAAAGTTACACTTTTCATTTGCTCTGGCATGGATTTAATTAATTTTTCATGAAAGAATGTTTCATTTTGTGCTATTCCTCTGTAGTAACTGCTTTTAGCATATCTTTTGAAGAAGTGTCATGTTTCCCTTTTCTTTCCTTCAGCTCAGTTCATACATGTTCGAAGGAATTAGTCTCAAGAATATGGAGGAATTGGGTAACTTTAGGACAGTTATAAAATGGTAATAAGTGGAAATACTTCAATTCTTCATGTTCACACATCGTGACTGAAAGTTATGTGAGTCGAAGCTATAAAATGTGTATAATTTATTCTGTTCAAGGAAGTCATTTGATCAGGGTTCGTATGGTCCTTAAAAGTCCTTAGATTTTTTTTGGTCCTTAAAAAATCCTTAATTTTGGCCAAAACCAGCAGAAGGTCCTTAATTTTAATCATCTGAAATTTGTGTCTGTTTTTACGACTGCCATTTTGAGTGTGAATTAGCATTTTGGAGGAATATTTTTGGTGATTTGCTGACAAATATGGTTGTCTTTTGAATGGGTTCATGGGTTATAGTTTGTTTCTATTTCTAATATAAAGGATGGGATATAAAGGAATATAATATAAATGATAGAGGAAGATAGTATGCCATAAATGGGATTTTTTATTCAGACTATCTGAGGTTCCTGCTGTCTCTTTCAGAAACCTGCTGGCTAGGGAGTTGTGCCATGGCCAGTGCATTGATTGATGTTGGCCAGGATCACACTTTTGGCCTTGAGTGGTTATGGGTAGGGACAGGGCACACTAGATTGTTTACTGCCCTGATGCAATCTGTGCAGATCCTAAATTCTTCTGCCTTCCAAAATTCTGCACTTTCCCCAAAAATTCTACTGTCCAGTGCCTCCATAACTTCCAAAAATATTTCCATCCCTAATTTTTGCTACTTAGTGTTCCTTTAAATTCTAAAATTTTTGTGACCTCTAAACTTGCAGCTGGTGTGGCCACAATGGTTGCTTCTGTTCTGGTGCCAGCTCTGTGGGGAGATTGGCATTTTTCTGTCTGACCTGAGTACTAGATGAAGCCCCAATATTGCTGTGTTATTATATTAAACTAATGATCTGGAATTGCCAAAGTCCTGATGATTCTGAATGCTGGACTTTGTACTCTGTATTTTGTGTATGCATGCATGTTATGTAATAATTTTTTTCCCTCCGTACATACTATGTAATAATTTTTTTTCTTCTGTAGATACTATGAAGCTATTATTGAAGATATAACTGAAGATGGCCAATGCACTGTTCATTTTGCTGCCTATGGCAATACAGATGTATCAGATGTAAGTTTTTTAGTATTTATGCTGTAGAGCAAATCTAGTTAAATATGATTATTTTACATATAAATGTGATCTGCTTTTTCTGTCTATAATGTGTTATATTTTGTTTATAGCTCGAACACTTACGTCCTTTGGATAAAGATCACGATTTTCCTGAAAGTTCTTCGAAATCCAGGTAAAAGCACTTTTATACTTCATTACATTATTTTGCATTACTGTTGATGATCGAAAAAAGAAAGTCTGCTTTTAAATTTCGATTTAAATTTTTTTTTAAATTATTTTTTATTTAATTAATGTTTTGATTTTTTGTCGTTGTTCACCTCTTTGTGCAGGGGAATAGAAATCAAACTCTACAATAAATGTCATAAATATTTTGCTTTGCAAATGCAAACACAACATAACATTACATCTTTAGAACACAGTTGTAATAAAAATAATCGCGTGTTGCCACATTGTTGAAACAAAATAATGAAAAACTGTTTATATAAAAGTGGAAATAAATTATTTTTAGTGTTTTGTGAATAACAGCTGTAACACAGTTAATGTCATAACATAATATATGCCTCTGTAGTTTTTATTATTTCAAAACATAATGAAATATTATTAAGCAATTTATCCATTTCTTAGCATTGAAGTACGTAACTATGATTGAATAATTTTTTCATGCTGCTCATTAGTTTTTTTTTTTTTTTTTTTTTTTAATTCTTTGGTATTAAAAAAAGGAATGGATTAACTGAGTTCACCATTTGTTGATACGTTTTTCTTGGAGTGCTTGTATGCTTTTACTTTTTCAGTATATGCTTGTACAGTTAGAGTAGAGAGAAAGGTACCCCTTTTATTATCGCAAAGTTGTTTCATTTATCCCCAAGTGATGGTTTATTTATGGTAGCCTGAATAGTTGAATGTTATGGAAACCCAATTATGACGTAATCGGTTGCATTATTGTGGTGAATTTGTAAAGGCTTGTTGTGTGTGTTGGTTAGGAAGTACATTGCTTGTTTTCTGGTTAGATGGTAAAATCTCTGAATGCGGTAAGATTAATTTGAAGTGTCTGTATGATAAGGAAAGAAAGAGGAAAAGAGCATTACTTGACTGGTGTGTAAATAAAGGTTTATTTAGTAGCTATTATTAAGTGTCCTGTTTGTAGGAAGGAAATGCATATGGTCGGACGATATGGCGCTATGGAGGATAATTTTTACTCTTATTTTGTGAATTTATGTGCTGATGCCAGTATACAGATTCTAGTTCAGATAATTTTAGGAAGTTTTTGGATGCTGTTCAGGAATTTTGTTTGACTGAAGACGTGTTAATTTGTAAATAAGGTAAGTGGATATTTCCTTTGTGTAGTGCAAAGATGGAATTTCTTTTTTTATGTTATTTCACTGTTTGATTTAAAATGTAGTTTATTGAGATTATATATTTTTTTGTTGGCTGCTCCTTTGACTTTGTTAAGTGAATATAGTTCGGTGTGTACATGGACAGTCAAGGGAGTTCGCAATATCTAGTTTGTGCAATTCTCTGATGTTTTTTGAGGTGAAAATAGATTGATGTGTACATGGATAAAGGGAGTATTCAATGCCAAGTCTGTACAATTCTGGGATTTTTTTAAAGTGAAAATAGGTCGATGTGTACATGGATACAGAGTTTATGCAATTCTTTGTCTTGTTATTTTGGCTTTGTGTAGCAAAAATTGTCGCTTTTTTTTAATTGCAAGAAAGAACAAATATTTTTTATTATATTTATTATTTATCATTGTTATTGTGTATCATTTTATTTATTTATTATTGAAAATATATAATTAATTTTAAAATTATGAACTGCTTTATCTGCTTTTGTTTTATAAAAAAAAAAAATTCTCGGTATTCACATGTTATCCCGTTGACCGTAAAAGTTGGCTCTAAATTGACAAAGATCTCCTCAGTCTTTGGCCAAAAGTTGTGCCAACCATTCCTGCAGAATTCTGAAAGAACTGAAGCCTCTTTTTTAATACACAGTATGTATTCAGCTTACTTCATTTCTGTACTGCATAAAAAGTTCGTCGATTTCTGCTACTTTGATAGACCTTATTTCACTGGAAGTTCTGTTTAGAATGCTTGAGTAAAAAATTTCTACATGTAATTTTTCCAGTCTATTACTGTTTTGACAGTCATATTCAGCTGACCATCATGTTCATTAATACCCACTTCCTTCATGTCAATATCCCATAACTTTGAAAGAAATCCAGTGCTCGCTGTTCTGTAGACGTGATGCCTCAAATTTTAATCATTCTTTTTCCTCCTAAAATGCAAGAAAAAGTGTAAAATTAACAGTTATTTATATCCTTATTCATAAAAAAAAAGGGGGGGGGCCTTATCGAGAATTAATTGGGTACTTCAAATGAAAGCAAGATAGTGTGAGTGTGTTGCGCTTATTCATAATTGGCACTGTACATGCTATTCGGCACATGAGTTTCACGATTGACTGGATAATATATAGTTACTAAATTCTCTTCATATGTATATAAAAATTTCTTTTGTTTCATAAAAAAAAATAGTAAAAAACTATATCTTGGTCAAACTAAATGTTTAAAAAGCAGCAAGACAAAAATTATGAATTTATCTTTTTTATTGTTTGTTTTCTTCAATTTATGCATTTATTGTATATAAAAAAATGCATATACATATTCAGACCAATATTTGTATAGCTTGAATAATTAAAATAGAAATTTAAAACTGTTATATCCACTTTAAAATATTTGCAAGTTACAAATTCAGAAAAAACTCACTTGCAAATATTTTTGAAAAAAATTTTTTTTGTCTTAATTTCATTATTTCTAGGAAAATCACACAAATTAATAATTAATCTGAAAACAACAATGATTAGCAAATAACTATGGTTTCAACAATGAATGCCATATTGTATATACATCTGAGTATTTTTTGATGAAAGAAATGGTTGAAACCTTTTTTTCTGTATTTATTTAATCTATTATATAGTAGCCTTATGTCGAGTCAGAATATAACTATTTCTGGTGAAAACCCAGATTAAATTAAATAAACATATTTTTAAAAAAATCTTGCATTTTTAGTTTGTGGGAAAAATTGGGGACTGGAGTTATTTGATAGATGTTAATCAGTTACTTTCCCATGTGTAAAATTAATAATTAATCTGAAAACAACAATGATTAGCAAATAACTATGGTTTCAACAAGTCAATATTCCATTGATTAGCATATGAAATTTATTCTACAGATTAAAACCATTTAAAATTTAGATTGATGAATAAATGAAAATTGCAACACTTTTTTTATAGACAGTGTAAATCATAATTAAAAAATTGTTTTATATAAATTTAGTAATTTATATTATAAAATTGTAATTATTATTTTATTACAAATTATATTGAAATCATAAAAATCTTAATTATGTTTCTGAAATTTAAAAAAAAAAAAAAAGTTACTGTTCTCTTTTTCTGTAAGAAGTTGCTAAAAAGATTCTTAAATATTTAATGTTAAAATGAAAAAGTACTGTGTCAGTTGTTACTATAATTAATGTAAATATGTAATTAATACATTTGGATGGGAATAAAATAGTTTGAAATGAAATTACTTGGCTAATTTATCTAATTATGGAACCTAAGTGCAAACAAACCCATTCTAATTGCAGAACTTCCAACTCAACCAGATTTATCAGGAGACTCACTTTTTTTTTTTTTTTTTTTTTTCTTTCTTTTTAATCTCATCTTCTGGTTTTTAACTTATCTGGATTTAGATTATTTCTTTTCCAGGTGTAAGAAAATAATGCAGAAGTTTTATAAGAATTGTTGATTTCCAAGTATGAAAGAAAAAAGAATTACTGTGAAAAAGATTTTGAGAAAATTCTTAGAAAATGACCTCACCCCCCCTTCCAAAAAAAAAAAGAGCTAATGCTTTTATATATACTAGCAGCTTCGCTGCCAGCCTTCGTCTGGCTTATAAATGTACCGGAAAAATGGATGAAGGGAACACCAAATGTTAAATTTAAAAACTGCGTAGAATTTTACTCTGCAGAACAACTTCATAAAAAAAAGTTATTACATATAAAAAATTACAAAGAAATAAGCACTATCCCTTAATACAAATATTAGTTATCCTAATAAATAAATTAACCAACTTCCCTTTGAAAAATCTTAAGAACTCTAATGGTATAAAGGAGGTTAAGAACTTTGTTTCCTAAAAAAAATCACTCAAAACTTTTCATTATCTTAAAAACAGTGAAATGAGCAATGAATAACATAAAAGAATACCAAAAAAAAAAAAAAAAAAAAAAAAAAAAAAAAAAAAAAAAAAAAAAAAAAAAAAAAAAAAAAAAAAAAAAAAACAAAAATAAAAAAAAAAAAAAAAAAAAAAAAAAAAAAAAAAAAAAAAAAAAACAAAAAAAAAAAAAAAAAAAAAAAAAAAAAAAAAAAAAAAAAAAAAAAAAAAAAAAAAAAAAAAAAAAAAAAAAAAAACAAAAAAAAAACAAAAAAAAAAAAAAAAAAAAAAAAAAAAAAAAAAAGGTTCTGAAAAGCAAAGTATAATTAATGATATTTTATCTTATATTTTCAAGAGAAAAAAATTACAATGAAATAAGCTACATCCCTTAATACGAATATTAATTATCCTAATAAAACAATTAACCAACTTTCCGTTGAAGAAAAAAAAATCATACAAAACTTTTCAATATCTTAGAAACAGTCAAATAAGCAAAAAATAACATGAAAGCAACTCAAAAAACAAAAAATTCCACGCAGAATTTTACTCTGCAGAACAACTTTATATAAAAAAAAAAAAAAAAAGAAAAAGAAATGTATTATATATTTAAAAAAATAGACAATGATTTATGTCAATCTCTTAAAAACAGTGATATAAGAAATACAATGAAAAATTGTTGCCAAACCCATATTTCTAAAAGAATGAAAAAATTCAAAATTATGCAATTTCATCAAAAATCTATCAACAACAATGAGAAAGGAAAATTGTTGCCATAACCACATTTTTAAAGATGTGAGAAGTGTACTCGGAAGCTTCATTTAAAAAACAAATTAAGCTACATCCCTTAATACAAATATTAATTATTCCAATAAAACAATTAACCAACTTTCCGTTGAAGAAAAAAAAAGATCATGCAAAAATTTTCAATATCTTACAAACAGTGAAATAAGCAAAAAATAACATGAAAGCAACTCAAAAAACATAAAATTCCGCGAAGAATTTTACTCTACAGAACAAATGAAAATGAAATATGCGAATCTTTTAAAAACAGTGACATAAGAAATACGATGAAAAATTGTTGCCAAACCCATATTTCTAAGAGAATGAAACTATTCAAAATGATGCTATTTCATCAAAAATCTATCAACAAAAATAAGACAGGAAAATTGTTGCCAAAATCACATTTTTAAACATGTGAGATGTGAAAAGTGTACTCGGAAGCTTCATTTAAAAATTTTTTTTAAAAAATACAAATATTATCCTTTTCCAAAACTCTTCTTCTAAAAGCAGTGGCAAGGATGAAAGTTTACCGTATCCAAAAATCAAAGAAAAATAAACTGCACATTTTTAAAAATAAACTTTTTTACAAAAACTCCCGTTGAAAAGATGTTAAGCTCACTTTGTTAAATAAATTCGTATTTAATCGATTTATTGAAACACAAAATTTATTTTAAGTTCGTAAAATAGTTAAGCGCCTACGTTTCATGACGATGTGAAAATGGAGTGTGTAGAGTAAAATCTCGCTTTCCTATAACCCATTATGTCTCAAAATACGCGATTTCGTCGCAAAACATAAAGTTAAAAAAAATTCGAATTTCAAAAAAAATCGCTTCGAGGTGCACTGCTTCTTGTCTAGATGCACCTATGTACCAAATTTCGTAGCCGTGGGTTTATTAGCTTACGCACAGCACGAACGAAAGACACACAGACAAACTCTTTCTTTTATTATATGTAGAGATTTTAATCCTTTGATGAAACTTAAAATTGTACAAATTCTCTTTTCCCCCAGGGTCTAATTCTATTTGACCTGGCCTATTTTTAATACATTTCAGAGTTATATAAACCATTTTCTGAAGAGTTAACATTGATTACTAATTTTATTACATTTAATCATTCGCTAAAATTGCTGTCATATTTTTATGCACATAAAATTTTACAATTACTAATTGTAAATAAATTAGCATAATAATTAGTGGACTATTGCTAGATTGAAGATGAACAGCAATCAATATCTATTTTTTACTTGAAAACAAGTTGTGAAATAAAATCACGGTGGATAATGATAGTGAAGATAGATCAGAAGTGATTGAAGTAGCTATGAAGAAACACAAGAACTAAAATTGAAAGTGAGAGTAGAATAAATATGTGATTAATAATGGTGACGGTGATCCATCTGGAAGCACAAATGCATCGCAAAAAGAATGAATTTAACAGGAAATAGATTATGTGTATGTTTTACTTCAGTTTTACTAGTTTAATAATTTGATTGATGCATTTTAAAATAAAATTTGAAGTATTAAAAACATCATTTTTTCTTATTTCAAAGTTTGCAGCTGAGTTATTTGTATACAAGTTGGAAGTGAATGAGAATGTTAAATTATCTTATTCATTAGCTTTTTTTTTTTTTTTTTTTCCCTAAAGGATCTTAACTCATTCTTCATATTTAATTTATATTGGATTTCACATTAAACCAATGTGAATGTGTCTTTTGCAGAAAACAAATCATTCAAGCACAGAAGGAATATAAAAAGAAAAAAGCCCAGAAAAAGGCTCAAAGGATGAAGCAGTTAGAAGAGGAAAGAGAGAAGGAAAAATTGAAATGGCACAGTTTCAATGCTAAAGTATGTGTGCAATTTAGTTTCAAAATCTTATCAAATTTATGTAGACTCATGAAAAATTTGCATTAAAAATTATTTTAATTTGTGAAGCATTTTAAAAACAACTATTGCTGGTTGCATATATCTCATTTTGATTCCTTTGTCTTTGATTAGACTGTCATATTTTATAGCGGATTTTCTGCTCGAAGATTTTGTTTAATTTATTCACTTTTTAAAAAAGCTGCTAAACATTTGCAAATTTGGTGGTGTCACAAAATTTGTATTTTAAGCAAGTGTTCTTAGCAGACATTACATTAGCCAGTTCTTCCTTTTTTGGAAATGAATCATTTTATTGTGTGTCAGTTTGGCAATTTATTAACATCTTGGAGGAATTTTTTAACAGATAAAATTAAGTTATAATATTAAGAAAAAATGATGTGTTGCACTTTTTCTGAAAATAGTATTAAAAGTAATCATTTTTTGCCTACTTGTCATGTTTTAAAATGTCTGTATTTCATTTGAAGGACTTTTTGAATATTATGATTCAGAATTCTTGTATCCTTTCTGAACTATTACAAAGCAGTGTTTAGAAAACATTTTAGTGAAACCATAAAAGCTGTGGCAAAGATATTTAAAATTAATTTCATATTCACTTTTCTGTTATGGTAAAAAATCCTCTGAAATTACACTGGTCATCAAAATTAAAGGATAATGATAGAAATAAAACGGAACTGATACATGATGAAAAATTATTAATAGAAATTTTTATAAAAGCATTAGTTAATATAAATTATGATGTTTAACATTTGACTATTTACAAAATATTGAAATTAAAACCACTTATGGAAATTGGAAAATGATGGAAATATTGTCTCTTCTTGTGGAAAAAATTTTACTTTAATATTGTGTATAGTTATCTCAGACAGATATGCATACCTCAAGACTTGATTTCATAAACTTTACCAAAATGTTTATCAAGTCTAGTAGAACTGCACACCAGTCTTCTTAAAATGCACGTTTTTACTTCTGAAGTGTTCAGGAAGGTGTTTAATACCTTAAGACATTTCACACGTGCCCAAGTTGAGTGAGTAAGGTGGCCAGTCCATTCAAGTGATATCTTCTGTTTACAAGTATTCTGACACCACGTATGCTCGATAAGGCCAAACATTATCATCGATTAGTTGAAACTCTGGGCCAACAGCATTCCTAAACAGTTTAACTTGGGGTTCTAATACCTTGGCTACATATCTCCAAGTGGTTACAGAACCTCATTGAGAGATAAGCAGCTTTGTGCTGCCATTTGTCATTATTCCTTCCCAAACCATTAAATACTTCGGCCACAGACAAGGGTAGACAAGTTGTGTGTTTCTTCCTCTCTCCAGATCAAAACAAGTGTAGAATCGCTCTTCAGATTATATCTGGACTCGTCAGTAAACAATATTTTGGCCCATCCATCTTGGCTTCATTGAAAATGATGACGGCACCATTTTAAACAGGCTCCTTTGGAAGCTGGAATGAGTGGTCACAAACCATTGGTTTTCGTGCATACAGTTCAACCTAATTAAGCCTTCATGCAGCAGTAGAAATGGCTAATTCAAGTTTCTGTGGCAGCCTGAAAGTCTAAAACCAGATCTCTTGTAGTCTCTTTGCAGTTTATTGGAGCCGACATTGACAGAAAACAGCCTTCTAATGCGGCTGTTGTTCTTGGTTGCACTTGACCAGCTGTCTATCAACTGATCCACTGTTTAAGAAGCGACTCCAAACTCTTGATATGACACCAAGGAATATTCAAATTTAGGGTGACCTCTGTTTATGTTTAACCTTCGATTCTACCAATTATTTGCCACATTTGACCTTTGCTTAAATGATTTTTTTGAGTTATAACTACTGAATACTGATCATTTTCAGAAATCACATTCACTTTAAACAAAACTACAGACCAGAATTGCAACATACATCCATTGTGCACACCACATTGTCGGTAACCAAATTTGCATATTTCCGATGCTAATGTATGCTTAGAAGTGTAATTTTGTGTTCAATTGTATTTAATTAACATAAAGAACCACAGCAGTTGGCATTGGTTGCAATATTAACTTAGTTATGTTTTTTTTCTCTAACCTTTAATTTTAAGGATCAGCATATTTTTTAACATTCAGGTACATGTCACTTTATAGCTTTCTCTAAATTTTTTGCCCTCGTGAAGTTAAGTATGCATTACAGAGACCTTCAGCAAATCTCTGGGCTGATGTTTCCGTAACGTAATCAGAGACAAAAGAATAAAAATCGAATAAGATAGCTACTGTTTTTCTAGCAGACTATTTAAATTTTGTCAGATACATTATTAAAAAATAATGATTTATTTTACTAAGAAGTGTTTTTACCACTTCAAATTGTCCACCATGCTAAGGAATTATAGAGTGACAAGATTTACAAGTTTGCATAGAAGATAAGTTAATGGCTTCATACTCCATGTAATGAATAAAGTTTGGTTGGTAGTAGAGTGTAATATGATCACAAATCTTTGGGAAAATTCTGCAAGGAATATTTTTAATGTAAAAGAAAAAGAGCGAATGCTCCAAAAATTTCATCTAGTTAAATGGTTAAATTTGCTGATTAGGTAATATTAAATATTAGATTTAAAATTATTTAAAATCATTTTTAAATTGCCATATTCTAGAATTAGAATAAGGACAAGGCAAATGAGGTACTTAGAGCAAATAGCTGTGAGAGGTGCGAAATTAGAAACACATTTCTAAAATGAAATTTTCCTTTTTAATTTTCACATTAAAACATATCAAGAAGCCCCATTTAAAAAATATATATATATATTTACAGCAAAAAAGAAAGGGAGAGCACTGTATTCTTGATTTTGTGTATCATTATTGGTGCTGTGTGACAATCTGGTTTTCTGCATTAATGTTTAGTCAGGTTCTTGCTGCAATATCAACACGATAAACAATAAAGTTATTTATGTATGAATTATCTGATTTAAATTACCTTCTTTTATTATATCTTCTGTGGCTGCAGGCAAACATCTAGAAGCGAAATGTACTATACATAAATTTTTTCTTCCATTTTTCGAATAAAGTTTGCCTTTGAATAAAAAAAATGTATAGTTTAAGTTTTTGTTGCATTTTATCTGTATTTAATTTGTAGAACTGTACAAAGCATCCAAGCTATACATTCGGCTATTATGGTTATTGAGAGAACTTATAATTATCATTAGATATTGAGCTTAAGTTTTTTTATCACGAATAGACTATAAAGAGTCAGATTAAAGCATGATCTATGCTTTTCTGAATTGTTCTATTTTTTATATGAAAGAATAAAATAAAACATTTAATAGTAACAAAAAAGGGAGGGAAAGGTTTTGAATTGTTCACTAAATAATTAAAATAAATGTTCCCTTTAATTATAAAGAACTAATATTAAATAAATAGTATTTTGCTGAATTAATTAATGCAAAAGAACATTTTAAAGCTTTGATTTAGTACTTAAGTAGCTGATATAGTTTAAAGTCTTTAATCCAGACGTCCATAATCCAGAATGATATATAATCCGGACCTCAAAGCTCCAAACTTTCTGCGCATGCTCATAATACCTTTACGCATGCGCGTTTAATGTTTGATGGACTGTATAAGCTAGGCTAAAATTATCTATTTCAGTTAATGTTGCAGATTGCATTGTTCCTTAATCTACTAATTGGATTCGGCTTATTATTTTATGTTTGATGGACTGTATAAGCTAGGCTAAAATTATCTATTTCAGTTAATGTTGCAGATTGCATTGTTCCTTAATCTACTAATTGGATTCGGCTTATTATTTTTTGCAGACCGTTAGAGCAATTTTATAAAAAGTAAGCTTGCACTTTCGATTATGTCAAAAAGAGTTTCTGATTCTGAGCTGCCAAAGGATCTACAAAGCGAAAACATGTTTCAATGTCCATCAAACGAAAAGCGGAATTGCTGCAAAAAATAGATAAAGGCATGAAGAAAATGACAGAGAGGTTAGTGGAAACGAAAAAATTTCGATTGACGAGTTAGTCGGTATTCTCGGCACAGCAGGACTTGAACAGCAGAACTGAACAAGAAATTATGTCTGTTTATAGAATTGAAGAGAAAATATTAGCACATAAAACAAAACAACATGTACTGGGGAGCTAAAAAATGAAATTTCTTACCTCAGTACTTATTATTTTGTATCACAGTCATTACACATGCCAAGTTGTCTTCCTCTTCATCAGAGGAAATAATCAAAGATTTGCATAAATCTTCAATTCAAACCCAGTAGTCATTTTCTACATGAGTGCAGTACTTCTTCATTATGCATGAGTGCAGTACTGCATCATTATGCTTTCAAGAGCTTCTTTTGTAATTTTTACAGGAGCATTTTGTTTCACAAGCTCCATTAACATCACTTTTCGTAAAACTGGAGAAAACTACATTTTTGTTAAGTAACCAATGGATAATTTCTTCTTTTTGGCTTGCCACAGTTGGACATTTATTTATTTGAACAGTGTGGTAGGAGGCATTGTCTAGAATCACTACAGCATTTGGTGTAAGATTCGAAATGAGTTTTTCGGAAGTCCACTTTTCAAAAACAGTAGAATTCATTTGCCCGTGCTAGTCCCCGGATGTGGTATTTGCTTTGTATACTATAGACGTATCAGGTAAAAATCCTGCATCTCCTCCAGCACATAAAACAATTTTTTTCGATGCATTGCTGCTTTGCACGACTCCAAAAACTGCTTCCGATTGCCAACACTTTGAAAATGTTATGTTGCTGTTCACCCAGGTTTCATTCCAAGTAAATGAGAGGTCTTTTACGACAAAATTGCCTCATTTTTCTAAGATACTGTGTTCTTTTTATCATAATGTCACTTCTTTCAATTAAAACTTTTTTCTTGTTTTGGCTTTTTCTCCATACAAATCCAATGTTATGCAGTACACTTCTTAATGTTTCTCTTTTCCATTTCAAATCAATCTTCTTGTAGCACATGAAGTAATTTTGAAAGGAATGAAATTTTTTTCCCCTTAATATAAAATTCATGAACAGTTCTTCGAATCACATCGTATTCAAAACCATCTAAACCAATCCTATTTAATACTTCTTTATGGGGCTTTTTTTTTTTTTTTTTTTTTTTCCGGAGAACTAAAAACTGGCTCTTCCTCCCTTTCTGCCTCTCAGCGAATTTTCTTTATTGTCATCAGCGATACTCCTGCAATGTTGCTGGCTATTTTCGTGGGCTGTGAGATGAAAATGCTAAGTTTTCCATTTTCGGCTTTGATGTCACAAAATGTAATGACATTATGCAGCAGTTTCTTAGTATCACTGTGAAAAACTTTGTTTTTACCAACAGAACACATTTTAACAATAAAAACAAGCTATCTCTAACGCTTACACAAAAGATCGCAATATTGACAAATGTTAAGTAAACAATCTAAATAAATTCTGTGTAAATATGGTGGAAACCTATTGATTGGTTTTCTTTCTTTACGACAAGAAAGAATACATCTGCTAAAGAATATAGTTCCTTGATTTTAGTGACCTTATCTTTAAAAGTAAGCAATGAACTATACATTGTTCATATAAAATTCATACATTATGAAAAATATTTCAACATTCTAGGTTTCTGGGCTGCAAACCAATTTGAATCTTAGCACTTTTTTCTACAAATCTTAAAAGAAAAAGGAAAAAAAAAAAACTAAAGGCGCAAAAGACAATTGATACAACATCATCACCCAATGACATAAGGATTTTCTCTCCTTCGATCATATAAATTCCCTTTTACGGACAAAGAGAGAACTTTCGCATGACCTCTCACCTTGCAGCACTTAACTGACGCCCCTTTTGGATGATTCTGTGTGTTTTGGTGAAATGCCAACAGAGGCTTTACAATAGACGGTCGAACAATAAAACTGTGCTTTAATCCAAGATATCCGTGAATGACAATTTAAGAATGACTTTTCATGAAGAATTTCCTAGGAGAAAACAAACTCGAATTCATGTTGTATATGTATAAAGGGACCATATTTTTCCAAAGCGAGATAAAATACTGTGAAAGTACTTTCATCAGTAAAAGCTTTCCCTCTTTAGTCGTAAGGTTTTCTCAGTATAAAAATGTAAGAAAATTTTAAAAATGAAATAAGTCAAAGAACATAAAATCTAAAATGTCCAATTTTATGCTAATATATTTTACATCAGAATTGAATTACAAATAGTTCAGTAATCTGAACCATGCACTGGAAAGATAATTAAAATCAGTTCGGAGTCCTATTGAAATAGTATCACTGCACAGTATAAAAAACGTCCCGTTTTTCAGATATCAAGGTTGTTAGCTATGTAATAGTATTTCTTGTTATAAATTGAGCAAATTTAGTGTGTAATGTGAAGTTGTTAAATATAAGTAAGTCATCTTCTTGCAAATAATTTTTTTCCCTCGATTTTTTAGGCATTTAACAAAAAAGGTCATGTAAAGAAGAGTATTTTTGCCTCACCAGACAACATTAACGGACGAGTCGGCATTGGGACTTGTGGCATCGGTGGAAGACCCATGACAGAATTCCAACAACAAGAAAAATGGAGACGGCCAATGGGAGGCCCATTGAGCAATTTAAAGGCAACAGCCTTAAAAGGACAGTCATCACATATGTAATAAAATCATTTCACTGTTTTCCCATCTGCCTGTACATATAAAAGTCATTTTAAAGCTGGAGTTCAGCATTGGCTAAACATCAAGTTTAAGCTGTTAGAAATCGTTTAGTCTTGCACGAAATACAAGTTGATTTGAAATGTGGTGTTGCTGTTAATGCAAAAGTACATTTCACTGAAAAGGCCTTTGTAAGTAATTTAAAGATTGACTGCAGTTTTTCCAGCGAAATATTTAAAAGTCACCAAGATTCTGTATTTCTCAAGACTTCTTTTTAATCGTGTAATGTTTATATTGTGAAAGAAGAGAGAATATGCTGAATTACCTTTTCATGAAAAATTGAGATTTGGGGATTTATCCCAATGTTGTAAATAAAATAATTATTATATTATTGTATTGCTGCGTTGGTCTAAATTTGAATATTTTGTATCACAGCTAAAATGTAAATTATACTCAACTTGTACATACACTCATTTATAGCTAAAGATGGTATAGTTTTTATAAAAATGGGTTAAACAACTTGGGATACTATAAAATGTTTCTTGATGCTCTTTTGTCAGAGGGGTCTGTGTTTCTGAGAACATGAATAAGCTTTAGTGCTGATAATTATATTCTTCTTCTCTAACATGATATTTATTATCAAGAATATTCTTTTGCATAATGCCAGTGTGCTTGGTATGTACCTTCTTAATTTGGCTGAGCCACCAACAGTATCTTTAATTTCAGTATATTTTCAAGTTCTAAAACAAACTTCACAGTGTAATTTATCTTATTAGCTTGTTTCTGGCAGAGTATATTTTAAATGATTCTTTCCATTCCTGAATTGATGGAGTTATTGATCAAAGATTTCAATTTTAAGAATATTTAATATTCATTCTAAGTACTTTTGTTATCATTCAATGTTCCCTAAATCATTGGCTTTCAAAGTTTGAAACATATTCACCTGTATGTGCTTTTTATTCATCGCCCCCTTTTTTTTTTAACTTTCTTAAACCGGCGGTACAACTGTAGTACTGCAAAATTTACTTGCTCTTAAGCGGGCTATGGTACAACTGCTGTACCAAGCTTTCCATTCCCCCTTTTAGAGTAATTGCCTATCTTTAGATTCTCTGGGTGGTCTAGTTTTCTCTTCAGAGCAGCCTCTGGCTATGTAATGTTTCCCATTTCTTATCTCTTTGGCTAGGTTTTTGGCGAAGACTGTAGGTTTTGTCTCGCACCAACGTGCTTGAGAAAAAAACAGATGCTATCTCTCTTTCAGTCATTAGAGCTTTTTCTCGTGACTTCTGTGTAACTCGCGCTCTTATTCACTTCTTATAATGGCACCTTGTTTCAAAGGTCTCAGTCAGGACGAAATTACTAAGTTGCTAAGAGATTTAGAAGAGGAAACTTTTGCTGATACAGATTCGGACTGTTCAGATACAGAAAAAATATGTTTTAATCAATCTTTCAATGAAGATAAAGTTGCCGAATAATTTCAAAAGCAATGCCGACTAATAATTATTTGAATGGAGACAGCCAAGTGAGCATGACAAAGCAAAACACATTGACCTTTACTGGTAAACCTGGCATAAAAACTGAATTTTTGGAAATTCATCTTGCTGTTGATTTTTTAAGTTATACTTTTCAGATGAAGTGTTTAAAATGTTAACCATAGAAACTAATCGATATGCTTCTCAAATCTTGTTGCGGCCAGATATAAACAGGAAAAAGAAAGCATGAATCCGACTGGACGCCAATTACATCTGATGAGCTTCAGAAATTTTTTGGATTAGTCTTACTCATGGGACATGTTGAAAAGGACAGCATTCGAGATTATTGGTCCACGAATGATTTAATTGACACACTAATTTTTCGTAAGGTAATGTCAAGAGACGGATTTTTAATGATTTTAAAATTTTTGCATTTTGAAAACAATAAAGAAAAACCCGATAAAATTATGAATTATGACAGACTGTTGAAAATTCGAAAAGTTTTTGATAATTTAAAAACAGCTTATAAACAGATTTACAGCCCCACAGAAGAACTCTCGATAGACGAAATTATTGTCAAATTTAAAGGGCGAGTAATTTTTAGACAATATATCCCAAAGAAACACAAGCAGCGGGGTATAAAATTATACAAGATCGCTGATAAGGAAGGGTACACCTACGATATGGAAGTTTACTTTGGGAAAGATAAATTTAAGGATCCCAACTTCTCATCGTCTTATAATGTCATTAAAGAAATGAGTGACACTATTAGACAAATGCCATAAATTATTTATGGAGAATTTCTTTTCCTTGCCAAAACTTTTTGTTTATTTATTAAATGAAAATAAAATAAATTCATGTGGAAATATTTGTCCGAATAGGAAGCATTTCCCAAAAGTTGTAAGCAAAGGAAAATTGAATAGAGGAGAAACCACTGTGCATTTCACAAATGGGATGACAGCTCTATGCTGGAAAGGTAAGTGTGACGTTTCAATGCTGTCAGATATGCACAATCCAATGATTATAGCCGATGAGCAGACAAAGCCAGAGATCATAACATGTTACAACAAAAATATGGGCTATGTTGATTTAAGCGATCGCATGGCCAATAGTTATACTTTTGGCAGAAGACTTTGAAGTGGACGAAAAAAAGTATTTTTTCATCTACTTGACCTAACAGTGCTAAACACGTACATTCTAAGCAAAATAAGCAATATCGAAAAGAATCACAAAGTTTTTCGCATGAATTTGATTAGAGAGCTGATTCATTATTCCTGATCTTCAAGCTCATACGCTGTCTCGATCAAGTCGAAAAAAACAATGCAAGTATCTATGCTCCCATTTCCCTTTTGATACAAAGAAAAGACGAAGATGTGCTGTTTGTTCTGCAAAAGGTTTACAGCGGAGATCAACTGTCATATGTAAACCATGTGATGTAGCACTCTGCATAAACTGTTTTGAAGTTATCACATGTCATTTCAGAAAAACAGTTAAAAAAAAAACAGCAATAGTTAATTAAATGAAAGCACCTTCCTATAATAGCAAAAACAAAACAAAAAATTACTAATCTTACATCAAAAACAAAATCAGAATTTAATAGAGCATGTCTCTATTAAAAGCCTTTTTATAAGGGCCAAAAATTGAAAAAAAAAAAAGAAACTATACTCAAATGATCACAACGAACGTAACATTGAATATATAACTCTGAATTTTTCACGTCAAAACAACTCTGTTTAGATACTGGTGAATGGGCTATCTGTATGATCCTTTTCGTAGTTTTCCCGTTAAAAACGTGAACGTCAGCCGGTTCTGTCAGTCTTTTACGAAACATCACTTTTCAGCAAATAGTACTATTATACTTAATTAAATAATCCGTCCTGACGTTTAAGTTTCTTCCCTTACGCCAGTAAATATGGGATTTAGTTACATCGCTACACTCAGGTGATATGTAGATAAAACTATTGACTATTTCGTTTGGTAACAGTTACATATAGGTTCAATACAAGTGAATAAACAGGCTCCATAGGATTACCCCCCCATGTGTAACGTAATTATAAACCGCTTTCTCTCCAAATGTCCTTGACTATGGTTGCAGAAAAGCAACTCGAGGGCTATCTCTCTATGGGTAGAGATGTTATCGTGGAAGATTTTCTAAGGGAAACTCTCTCGGATTCAAATTATACATTAAAAAAGCCGCAAAATCTTTCATGTTCGTGTGGATTTTAATCCAGGTTGAACTACCAGTGTTTAGTGATTTTACTGCTCTTTTATCTGGTGGATTCCTCCGTGAAGGCATTCATATTTTTAGGCAACTTGTAAGATATTTTCTCCCTCCTTTCTGCATGCCTTCGTGGTGTAACGGTTAGCAGACTTGGCGATTATTTCGAGAGATCTAGATTCCTGTCCCGACGAAGGCATTGCACATTTTTTCATGTCTTCTGCTTCAAAAAATAATCTAATGACTCTATAGTGGTGCACGAACTGAAAGGTGATTCCTCACCACCGCGATTTAGCTATTGGGTCTCCTAATCTCCTCTCGACCTTTAAAAGGGCAAGTATATAAGGTATTTTCTCCTTCCTTCGACATCCCTTCGTGGTGTAATGGTTAGCACACTCGGCGCATATTTCGAGAGGTCCGGGTTCGAGTCCCGAGGAAGGCATTGCTCATTTTTCACATCTCCATTATCAAATTAACCTAATGATTAAAAATTAATCTTAGCTTGCTTTGTCAACCTCGAGTAAGCAATAAGCATTTCTTTGCTATAATAAACTCCATAAAATAAATAAAAAGGTTTTTCACTTGGCTAATAACATTTGCTAAAGATGCATATATTTTTATATTATGTTTCAAATTTCAGCGATCTTGCACCCTGTTCGAGATTTAATGTTTCTAAAGTGCCTTTTACAAAGTAGGCAAAACTACTTTTTTAGGGCCTGCTTTACACTTGAGGCTTAAATCTAATAAGATGTTACTTTGGCCTTTCTTGCTGCTGAGGTCATAAAACTGTTCAGTAATGTTAACTACGTTCGAACTTCTACTATTACGCATGCAACTTTCTCATTTATCCTTTTGTGATTTTCATTCATTCTTAAGTAAATAAAATGGAAAAATCCACATGTAACTAACCTGTTCTCTGGGATTTGATTGGTCTTATTTGGTTCATTCACTGGATTACACCGAAGCACTCGACAGCTATCTGTATAAGGGGAGGGATGCCTTCATCAAAGTCTTGCTCAGTAAAGCTGACTTATACCGACGTTACAACAAAAACCTTGAAAGCACCCATGAAGCCTGTGATTCGAACCCGAGAAAACTACCAGTATCCAGCCACTTTAGCGCTCTCCACTGGTGGGCCCATAAAAAATAGACCAAGGAAAATGATTGAAATAACCGATTTAATTTTCTAACCTATGTTTATCATTCGGCAATACATAAATTAAAAATTTTAGGTGATTGTGAATAAACTATATTGCAGTTTTCTCCAATGTTTCATATTACAGTTTTACATGGATTTTTCAATGTTTCATTTTACGATTTTACATGGAATTGCAGCACTATGGAATTATTTCTGATGCATTTATTTCGCTCCGTTCATCATTCTTATTCTTTAGTCTGCCAAAGAGAAGATTTCACACTTTAACAAAAAAACACATAAGAGGACATTTTATGAAAAATTTGTCGGAAACAATTTTCTTAATTTTGCTTTGAAAATATTCCTGGGTAATTGTTTTGATCACTGAAAGAAATATGAAAAACATATTTCTTATGCTGTAAATGTCAATACCCTGTATGCCCTTAATCTTTTGAAAGTATGAAAGATTACTCTTTTTAAAATAAAATTAGAAAATTATTATGTTTATTATTTTGTATTTTTATTTATTATATATATGTATATCCATTTCATTTAAAATCAAGGAAAAATCAAG